CTTTTCCTAAAATTAAGGATATTACCTTGTTCCAATCGTCTTCTTTTTGCTGATCTTCCTGTTGCCTGGTCTTCTCCGAGTTTTCGCTGATCCTGCCTTCTTCAAGTCTCCTGTTCATTATATTTCTCTCAGTCAGTATATCAATGGCCTCTCGGATCTTGCGTTTTCTTATATTTTCACCATATCCAGCCAACCTATCGGTCGATTACATGCCCCGTCCGTGCAATGTGTTCCGCTATTTCTGATCTGTCTGTATCCATGTTCCTGCAGAGTCTTTGATGTTCCTAGATTCGTAGGCCGATGTTTCGTCCTGTTTCACCGATATACTTTTGCTCACAGTTTCCGCATTTGATGCGATAAACTCCCGAACATTTAAGTTCATCCGTATTTTCGTGTTGTGTTGGCAGACCGGTGAAAAGTGTTTTTTTCTCCTTTTGTTATCACCTTAATATTCCATTTTCCTAATAAAGGTCGCAATTGTTGGCTCAGTTTTTTGCCATTTAGCCTTTATGAATTGTTGCAAACATTGTGGTATCGCTCCCCGATTCTGCAATCTAATGAGGGAGTGTCATTCGGACAGAGTGAATGAAATTCTTTATCACGCTTCAATGCAGAAATTAGAGGAAAGTTACAAGACCGAGAGGCGTAAGCTATTTAAGTTTATAGATCTTAAGTCTAGATTAAGGAAGGATTTAGGTAAGGTTCTTGCTTTAGATGATTTTCAAAAACTCCAGAGCATGACCGACCAGAAGTCACAGAGGTTTCGGGATCTGATAAATAAGCGACATGACAAGAAATTGCTTAGCTATGGGGTAATAAGACCAAGACCAAGCAAACCCGGGGAAATTGTGATGGTTCTCTATTGAAGACATTAACTGTAATAGTCGACAATAGGTAAAGGTTGTAAACCTATCTTCATTCCATCCTGATTCTGAAATTACGGTCTCTTAAAGAAGGGGTTACATTTTTCACTAGGTAATGAAGGAAATATGCTTAGTGATATTCTGGTGGAAGTTGTCAACATAACAGATAAATTTCCAGAGGAGAAAAGGCAGGAGATGGAACTGGAAATAATCCTACGGATCCTGACACATGAAGAACCGATAAAATGGAGTAGATTGGCTGGTATTCGGAAAAAATTACAAATGAATGATCAAATAGTTATTCAGGCCGATAAGGGAGGAGTGACTGTTGTAATGGACAGGAAACAGTGCACAGGGAAAATGGAAAGTAGCCTTGCCGACCGGAACACTTATTAAATAGTAAGGAAGGATCCAACCACAAAGATCAACGGGAGACTGATGAATATACTCAAGGAATTGCATTAAAGGGGAAAATTGACATATGGATGATAAAATCTTCAATCAAAAATGACGCAAGATAAGCGACAGCTTACGCACTACCGAAGATACACAAGGAAGGAAATCGGCTAAGACTAATAGTCAACAACAAGCATGGACTAATGTATAAACTAGCGAAATTCATTTGCTTGAAGCTTAAGAAAAAATGACATACTCTTGAATAGCGTCAAGAATTCTTATGAATTTTCTCAAAGGATCCGGAACATTTGGTTAGTTGGGTCGGAGCTGTTAGTGAGTTTCGATGTACAATTCATCTACACAAACATCTCAGGTGAAAAGGCGATAAGCGCCTTAATGGAGATATTGCAGCGAGAAGGGGATATCCTGGAGGAAGAACGGATAAGGAAGGACTCGTTAACACGACTAAATAAGCTGACAGTTATGACAACATATTTCAACTTAACAGCATTATCTATGAGCAAATATTTGAACTACCGATGGGATCACCACTCTCACCTCTTTTGGCATATATATATATATATATATATAAGTTGAAAAGGGAATTCGAGAAGTCACCACCGCAACAAAGAGTGTTCATGCGATACTTGGACGACTACTGTGCACTTTGGTCAGATGGTAAGGAAAATTTAAGTGAATAAACAAATAAACTTGAATGTTCGGGAGTTTATCGCATCAAATGCT